CAACAAGCCTTTATCCCACTAGGTGGGGTCGGCTACATAGATTGCAAGACGCCATTGTGCTCTATCATTTATCAAGCTTTTAGGAATATTATTAATTAAGAGATCGCGTTCAACAACTTCCAAGAGTATTTTCTTAGGCCTTCCTCTACCTCTCTTAATCGGACTTAAAGTTATATATTTCACTCTTCTCACTGGTGCCTCCCTTGGTCTTCTTTGTACATGCCCAAACCATCTCAACCGATTTTCTACCATTTTTTCCTCAATAGGTGCCACCCTCACTTTTTCGCGTACGTGCTCATTTCAAATTTTATCTTTACGTGTATGTCCGCACATCCATCGTAACATTCTCATCTCTGCTACTCCAACTTTATGCTCTTGCTGTCCCGTTAGAGCCCAGCATTCACTACTATATAACATTATCGGTCTGATAGCAGTGCGATAAAACTTTTCTTTAAGTTTATTAGGCACCTTACGGTCACAAATAACTCCTTTAGCTTTTCTCCAATTAAACCACCCAGCTTGAATTCTATGTGAAATATCTCCACTGATTTTGCCATCATTTTGAATAATGGCTCTCAAATATCTAAACTTTTCCACTTGAGGTATAATTTGATCTCTCAATTTCACTTTCAAATTATTGTCGAATATTCCTTTATCAAATTTACAATATAAATATTCCGTCTTACTTCTACTCAGATGAAAATCTTTCGACTCCAATGTCCTCCTCCATAACTCAAGTTTACAATTAACCTCTTCTCTTGTCTCTACTATAAGAACTATATCATCCACGAAGAGCATACATTTCGGGATTTCCTCTTGAATATGTTCCGTCAAAACATTTAAAATCAAGTTGAACAAATAAGGGCTCAGAGATGATCCCTGATGTAGTCCAATCTTTATAGGAAAATCCTTTGTTTGACCACTAGGTGTTCTTATACTAGTTTTTCCCCCCTCATACATATCTTGTATGGCTTTAATATAAGCAATCCGTACTCTCTTTTTTTCCAACGCTTTCCAAAGCACTTCTCTTGGTATACGGTCATAAGCTTTTTCCAAATCAATAAAAATCATGTGTAGATCTTTATTTTTACAACGATACTTTTCCATTAATCCCCTTAGTAGACAAATCGCCTCTGTAGTTGATCTACCTGGCATAAAACCAAATTGATTCTCAGAAATACTTGTCTCCAATCTCAACCTGTGCTCAATTACTTTCCCCCACAATTTCATTGTGTGGCTCATGAGTTTAATCCCTCTATAGTTAGTACAATTCTAAATATCTCCTTTATTTTTATAAATAGGAATTAATGTACTTCTCCTATACTCATCAGGCATTTTCTTGGACCGTAAAATCACATTAAATAACTTAGTTAACTATCTCACCTCTTCTTCACCTAAACATTTCCATGCTTCGATAGATATACAATCAGGTCCGTTGGCTCTACCATTTGCCATTTTCTTAAGAGCTTCCTTTACCTCCTTATCACGTATTATTCGATAGAATGACAAATTTTGTTCTCCTTCACCAGTTACTAAATCCTCCAAGTTACTAGATGAATCCTCTCCATCATTGAAAAGTTTAAAAAAGTAAGTCTCCCATCTATTTTTAATTTCATCATCTGTAACTAAAATTCTTCCCTCTTCATCCTTAATACATCTTACCTGTTCTAGATCTCTTGATTTTCTTTCCCTACTCTTGGCAATCTTATAAATATTTTGCTCTCCTTCCTTCATCTCAAGGTTCTTATAAAATTCTTCAAAAGCTTTAGAACGAGCTTCACCCACAGCTCTCTTAGTTTCCTTCTTAGCCATACGATATCTCTCCCAATTTTTCTCATTGTTGTACAAATGTATGGCTTTAAAATAGTTTTTCTTATACTTGATTTTGTCCTGTACACTATTATTCCACCACCAAGACTCCTTATCTCTCGGACCAAAATCTTTCGATTCTTCCAAAACTACTTTTGCAACCTCCCGTATCTTTTTAGCCATATCCTCCCATATGATGTTAGCACTTCCCTGAGATTTTCAAATTCCTTTATCCAAAATATTTCGCTTGAAAATATCTTACTTCTCACCTTTTAATTGCCACCACCTAATCCTTGGTGTTACTACTTGTCGACGTTTTTGGATTTTACTCATAATACACACATCAAAGACTAGGACCCTATGTTGTGTCGTTACAGCATCTTCGGGGATCACCTTACAATTTTTACAAAGTCTTCTATCTGTGTTCCTAACCAAAAGAAAATTAATCTGTGACCTTGAGGCTCCACTTTTGTAAGTGATGGGATGCTCATCTCTCTTCTTGAAACAAGTGTTGGCAATCTTAAAATCATACGCCAATGAGAAATCAAGAAGAGTTTGTCCTTCATTGTTTAGCTCTCCAAAACCAAAACCACCATGCACCCTCGCATACTGACCAGCTTCCCTCCCAACATGCCCATTAAAGTCTCCTCCAATAAAAATCTTTTTACTCTGTGATATATGTCGAATCAACCCCTCCAGATCCTCCCAAAATAATTCCTTAAGACTGGCTTCTGTCCTGACTTGCGGCGCATAAGCGCTAACAATATTAACAGTCTCACGTCCAATTATCATTTTTAAGAAAATAATTCTGTCTCCAATTCTGCTAACTTCTACAACGTTCTTCTTCCACTCCTTATCTATAATGATGCCTACTCCATTGCGTGCACTTACTTTTCTTGTATACCAAAGTTTGAAACCTTGAATATCCTTAGTTTCTTCTCCACGCCATTTTGTTTCTTACAGGCAAAGGATATTAATTTTCCTTTGAATCATAACCTCTACAACCTCTACAGATTTATAATTTAATGTCCCAATATTTCAAGTACCAAATCTAATTTTGCTCTTATGGACTAACTTCTTTAGCTGCGTGCGTCCAGAATGACGCGGTAGCTTTTACTCATTTAACACTACATCCGGGTGCCGATACAGCGGCTCTAACTCACTTATCACTGTACTCGAGCCATACAGCGCGTTACTTACGGGCAACAACCTAGCATTAACATTATAACGTCTCATCTAAATCATCTAAAATCCATCGAAATTCCTTTTGATGGCTCCTTTGCCTCCTCAAACCCTATCTTCCAACCATTTTGCTTCTCATTTCTATCACCTACCTCCTCATCTAAATCACTCCATAACCAATTAGAATTCTTCATCAATGAATCCCTATATGACTGCGCATTCAAACCCTTAAACGTTGTTCCTTCTTCTATATATGCCTTTACCTGAGGCTTAAGCGATACCTCAACAAAGAAGCTAGTATCTCACTTACACACCTTCTTTTGACTCCAATCCAATTCATCCTTCTCCTCTACTGAAAACTCAGTCGGAAGAACTGTCGCCCTCGAGTGCGAGGATGAGAACATTTTTGTTGCCCGTTTTGTTGATTGTAAATACAATGATTATTAATTTAGTTCATTCTTAAAGTTTGAATGATTATTTGAATAAATTTGGTGAAAACACACTAGTTGGAGAGGATAATGAAGCATGGAGTGAATTTTTCAAAACTAGCTATGTTCTATCAGTCTCCCTCCAATCTTTAATTTAAATTAGACTTTGAAATATTTTTCATTCTTTTTTTGATAAAAAAGGGATAGCAACTACCCTCTTTTTTACTCTTAATATAAAACAAAATTAGAATAATTAATATTTTTCCTAATTTTACTTCTTATTTATTTATTATTGTTTGAATTTCTACATCATAATTTATTATGCTTATTATTGTAAAGGTAAATTGAAAAACTACATATTTTTTAATAATTTTAATGATATAAGTGCCTTGTCTTACAAGCATGAAGTTTGCTAAATTTGATTTATATTAAAGACCAATAGGAGTAGCTATTTATTTTCTAGGTTTTAGTTTAGCAAGTCTATCTTAAATATATATTTTTGTCGATTCAAGCCAAAAGCCCTTGATCTTAGGGTTTAAGAACAAAGAATTTTCACAAAAACAAATCATGTGTGATGGATCAATAATCCTAATAACTCAAAAGAAATCAATCTAGACCGATTCAAACTAGTTTATACGTTGCTACTCGACTCTGGTTAGTGTTATTGCTAGCATCAAGCTTCTCCCAAATGTAATTTTTGTTTTCATGAAAAAGTGTGACCAACTAATTTATCCAAAAGAATTACTTGGTGATGGAGCAACATGCTATGTGGCATGGAGTTAAAGGCCAAGAACATGTTATTGCAGGCATTTGTAGCCTATAAGATTCAAATAAATAGCTACCTTTTAGCATTTTTACTTTTTAGTAGGGTGAAACATTTGCCTTCACCAAGAACCTAGAACACAAAATATATTGCAATAAAAAGCTCAAGACATATGTAGCTGTGTGTAAGCGTGGAAATGCTAATCATTTAATTAACAAGAGCTCCTGGACTATATGATACGCTTTCTCTTCCTTTTGAAAAAGTGCTCAAATGTATGCATGATTCGCATCACATGTCTGCCTCGATCCTGAAAGCAAAATAAATGGAATTGAAAAGCATAGGCATAGGGTCAGTGCAGGCAGATGAAACGTTGATTCATCAGCTTCTTTTGTTGGGGGTTGCTCTCATTTCATTCTCGATGATGTATTGTTTATTCATTTACCGAACACATAAACGTGATTCATCCGCTAGATATCTTAATCGGAAGAATAAAGAAATGCGATGAGAGGCGACGTAACACGAGAAACGCAATGGGAGGGTAAAGACGTTTATGCTTATTCCTTGTTGGCACGCCTCCTACAGACATACACAATCTTGCCATGTACTATTTCGAATGTTAATTTTGTAGTTATAACGAGAGGATAGTGACGAACCGACGTCGACGTTTAAGCCACGCGTGTTTCCATCTTATTCCGTCGTTCTTGTTCAGCTTGCTTAATCATGACATAATTATTAATTACTAAATGTAATTTGGAAAAAGAAGACGTTAATTTACTGACTGCCTAACAGGGGTCGGGTGGGGTGGGGCCATCAGAGGAGTTTGTTGTGTGATGACCAGAGAACAGAATGAAGTGAAGAATCACTGCCAGAGTCGAGGTTGGACGAGTTGCTCCTTCATCTCCGTCTTAGCAACCGAATTATATTACAGAATCATCCCCTCTCTCTCCCCAACGGCCATGACATTGTACTCCATGAAGAGAAAGAAGCAACACGCTGATAAACTAACCATCCTCGGCCTCCTTATAACCAATTTCCTGCGCCGCCACTACCTCCACCGCATTCTCGTTTCCGCCGTCTCCGCTTGCCTCCTGCTGCTCTTTGCCACCTTCTCCCTGCTCGCTCCCTCTCCCGTGCATCATCTTTCTCCGGTACCTCCTCTTCTTCTCCTCCATTTTCCACCGTCTCTGTTCAATCAGGATTGCTCGGTCCTCTGCCTCTCTTGTCTCAGCATCTCTTATTTTTGTTTATTTGATGTTTTGCTTACTTGTCTCTATTTTCTTATATATTTTTTATGGTAATCATTTAAACGATATCTTCCTTTGTGTGCTGTGGCGCTGACTCTCAGTTTAATGACAAAGTCGGGCCTCCGTTGAACTCCCATCGGGAGTTGGTGTTTCATGTTCCAGTAAGAAAACTTCTGCCTGCCATAATATGAATAAGAATTCTGGAATGTTTTATCCGTTTTCCTGTGTTCGTTTTTCATTTTTCTCTTCCGATTTTGAAGGCCAATGGAGGTAGTTTAGGTCGTGATATATGGAGTTCGACTCACTCGCGCCTTTACTATGGCTGCAGCAATGCTAGCGATAGGTTTTTAAGTAAGTTTTTCTTCATCACCTTTTTTTTTTTTTAGGGGGGGGGGGGGGTGTGGAGATCTTTGAGCTCACAGTAGTCAAATACATTTCCCCCTCCGGGGACTTGATATTAAATCGAAGCACTGTGTTGAGTATATTTTACTTCTTTATTTGGGGCTGGTGGATTGAACGGGTTTTTTCCTTTGATCTACTTGCAATCAAAGAATCTAGTTGAGTTTTCAAATCAGTTGCATATGTAAATTTTTCTTCCAGATGCTAATACCAAAACACATCCAAATCGATACTTGTTGATCGCCACCAGTGGAGGATTGAATCAACAAAGAACAGGGGTGAGCTTCTTCAGCCATTCCTTTTGCTGCTCCTTTTATTGGGTTATCGTCTATGGTATTGATTGCAGACTAAGCTTCTTATTTGTTTTTTCGGTCGTATGCAACGATAAATTCTCCGCCAGTTCAATATGCAGCTTATCTTGTTAATATTTGTTGTTGCATGAGATTTTGAAATTACTCTGTACCTGCCAGTTATTTAAGGAAAACCGAGTTCCCTATTAAAAAAGAGAAAGAAAGAAATTAAAAATTTTATCTTCAATTAAACATTTGATATTCATATCTTTAGGCTGTTCGAGTCGTCTCTAAAATCGAAAGTCATTTTGTTCTATCTTTAGCTGGCTTTAATGATTGTGACCTGAAGTCCACGGCATATTCATTCATTTGTAGAGTGGTTTTTGGAAAAGTAATTTTTTTCTAAGTCAGTGAGGATTTATATACATATATACACACACACACACCGTCAGTAAGGATATTTTTGAAGCGTCCCTAGTAAGAGATGGCATTAATAGGAATAAGTATCAGAAACGTAGAGATTCTATAATAAGTATCAGAAACGTAGAGATTCTATGTAAATGGTGTTTCGAGAAACATGTAGATCCCTGTCCCTCAACTCTGTAATTAGATTTAAACCTACTATTATGAAAACCTTAATTTAAACCAAACTGAATAAACATTTTCAGCAGACATGTTGGTTCAAACAATTCTTAGCCAAAAACTCATTGATTGGTAACAGACGTGATGAGAAAATTTGGATGAACATGTAAAGTGCTTTCTGATGCTGAAAGCTATTTCTTTGGTTGCAGATTACAGATGCTGTTGTAGCAGCATATCTTTTGAATGCTACTCTGGTTACTCCTATGCTAGATCAGCAATCTTTCTGGAAAGACACAAGGTCTATCTTTACATTTTACTCCTAGTAAACATCTGCTAAGAATATCTCCTGTTTCAATTGAAAGACAAATTCATTGTCTGGCTTTGTCTTAATTTATACGCGATGTGTTATATCGTACAGCAACTTCGCTGAAATATTTGATGTGGACTGGTTTATATCATTCCTTCGGGATGATGTTAGAATTATTAAGCAGCTGTCAAATGAGGGAAGGAAATCGGTGATTCCATATTCAATCCGTGTTCCAAGGAAATGCACTCCTGAGTGCTATGAGGATCGTGTTTTACCTCATCTTGTCAAGAGGCATGTAAGTCAACTAAGTGTTAATACTTAATATGCTTGATTTCATAGAATATAATTTGCTTGTTCTTCACCTGCAGTATAATCTGGTCGTTAATTGCTTATTGCAGTTCCATAACTAGAAGCAGTTACGTTCATGAAAGAATTCATTGTTAAATTCTATCAGACAGCTAGTTTTGCAGCTCTCTAGTATAAAATGAAATTGTAGGCGTTGGCTAATTTTGAGTTTGGTAAATATTCATGCAATGATTGTTTCAATTATTCCTTTAATGACACGGATTGTTGATGCAGGTTGTTCAGCTCACTAAGTTTGACTACAGACTTTCTAATAGGTTGGATGCAGATCTTCAAAAGCTGAGGTGCCGAGTTAACTACCATGCTCTTAAATTTACTAAGTCTATCCTAGGAATAGGAAGATTATTAGTTGAACGGATGAGAATGAAAAGCAAGCATTTCGTTGCTCTACATTTGAGGTAAGGTTTATCGGTTTTATATAACCTTTTCCCCTGGTTCCATTACTTACCGGTCTCTCAATGAGAACACGATAATTATTCCTGGGCCAAGCAAACATCAGGTCCTGCTTGGCTTCTAGGATAAGAGATTGCTTGCGCTTGCAGTAACTAAAATGCATAGATCAATGTCATGTGATGTTTTTCTTTCTCGTAAGTTCACTAGTATAATTGGTTGATTTAAACTGATGATTATCTCCTAGGTATGAACCCGACATGCTTGCATTCTCTGGATGCTATTATGGCGGGGGAGAAAGGGAAAGAAGAGAACTTGGTGCAATTCGGAAGAGATGGAAAAGTTTACAAGTAAGGTTATGCCTTCTTAGGAATCACAGCTCCACGTCCTGTTGCCTTGTATGATTATTGATGTAATTTTATACGAGTCACAGGCAAGTAACCCTGACAAAGTACGAAGGCATGGAAGATGCCCACTTAACCCTGAGGAAGTAGGTCTTATGCTAAGGGCGTTAGGCTTTGGAAGTGATGTGCAAGTGTACGTGGCATCTGGAGATGTATATGGAGGTGAGGAAACATTAGCACCCCTCAAGGCTCTTTTCCCGAACTTACATTCAAAGGAGACCATACTTAACAAGGAAGAGTTGGCACCATTTGCGCCATTTTCTTCTCGCATGGCAGCCATTGATTTCATAGTATGTGAAGAAAGCGACGTTTTTGTCACCAATAACAATGGTAACATGGCTAAAATGCTGGCTGGAAGGAGGTAAGTTATGTCTCTTGTGCTGTCTCAAAATTCTGGAGATCAATATGTATGGTGACTCGAGCTATCACTGATCTACCAAAAGCAAAAACATACAATTTTCAACTTCTTAGGTGTTGACTCCTGAAAGATTTTTTTTTTTTTTTATGTATATATGCCTAAAAGTACCACTTATGTTAATTGAATGACAGAATTGACAGTTTAACGCAGATATTTGGGGAAAATCTGGATTGGAAATCACTAATCATATTTTTAGTGAACCAGAGGCCGTTATTCTCTATAGCTGGTTTCTATTTCGCTTTCTTTATGCTGACAACATGCACAGAATCTGGTTATTGAACATGCAAGTACATGCGGTCATGCTCTCTGTTGCAGGAGATACTTCGGCCACAAACCTACCATTCGACCAAATGCTAAGAAGTTGTACAGGTTGTTTATGAACAAAAGTATTATGACTTGGGAAGAATTTGCATCCCGGGTTCGAACGCATCAGGTGGGCTTGATGGGAGAGCCTAATGAGTTAAAGCCTGGCATGGGTGAGTTTCATGAAAATCCATCATCTTGCATATGCCAAGACGTTGAGGCAAAAGCTGGGGAAGTTCCCTATCCTCGAAATCAAACTCGTGACAGTCTTGAAGGTAGTAAGATGGATAATAAAAATGCGGATATTGGTGATATGACAGAAAAGCAGTTTAGTGAGGAGGAGAAGGAGTGGTCTTTTCTCTAACGCGGAGTATTTGGACAGTTGAAGTCAGATTCATCTTCAAGGATATATAACAAATTTAGTACCTGGTTTTCCAACAAAACCTGAACTTTAGAAGAATTCTTTCCAGATTTGCGGAAAGAGATAGTCTCATTCATGCTTCCAAATACACTTCTAACCCACTTATTCAGCATACATTTTTTGTCCGTGGCGTTTGTCTCCATGGACGGGAATTTTTCCTTACTGTGGATAGTTGTGTATAGAAGATTTTGATTTGATCATGGAGGGCTGCTTCAAGTATTTAGTGAATATAGATTGACAAGGAATTTTAAGCGTGTATTGTATCCTTAATGAATAATGAGCAATATTGAAGTAATCAACATACATCACCATTTTTTTAAGCAGAAAAGAATGCAGTGCGTGCATAACATAGGCCATTGCATACTGAATTCATCATATAAATCTAAACGTGAAATTCATTTGGACAAGGCAGGGGAGCAGCGCAGTGATTGTGGGTTTTTGGTCAATGATGAGCTGATCTTTCTTGATGAATAGCAGCCAATCATAAAGGCCATCTATGCACAATCCCATGAAAGGTCACTTCTAAGTATTAAAATATAAAAGAAGTCCAAAGATTACGAAATAGATCATAGATATATGCTTAAGAAAATATAAGAAATTTAACATGATATTATGAGCCATTCAATTGGGGGATAAAAAAATGAAAAAAAAAGAGAGAATGAAAAAAAAAAAATGAAAGAATGAAAGATGAGAAAAATACAAGAAGACATTTAAAAGAAAGGAGAGAAGAAGAAAAAAAATTGAATAGACCTAAGGCCTTTAAAACTAAAAAAAAGTACAAACCCAAGCAAGACGAAGAAAAAAATAAAAAAAAAGAAAAAAAAGATAATAAAAAAAATACCGAAATATAAAAAAAGGTTCATATCTAAAAATTTAAAAATAGATCATAAATATATGTACTTAAAAATATCTAATGAAATGATTTAAACTATTTTAATAGAATATAATATTTTTAAATAAATTTAATATAAAAAATCCAACACTATGCTTTTCAAGTTGGGTCATGGGACCACCAACTTTTGTTGCAAACCCCAAATCCCATGGGACCATCAACTTTTGTTGCAAGCCCCAAATCCTGTTCCCGTCCAATCCTAGCGATTATTTTTTCCATTACAAAGCAATTGCCATTCTTTAATTTGGACTTTGGACTTGGCATTTTTATCCATTGGTGAATTTGGACTTTGGTACTTTGGTTGCTGAAAACTTGTTTCGCCCCTTGATTGGAGATTGGATGGAATGGGTGTTCTGATTTGGAATAGTAGTTCTTTACAAATTTAAAATATAAATCTATTCTAAATATTTTTAATCAGGCACACTCCACCCCATATTGTAAAGTATTTTTTTTTATATAATTTTGCCTCAACGTTTTTCATTTAGATACAATCTTGTCAGGGTTTACCAGGCGCACCCCATAATTTTGTTGATTTTTAAGGTAAAAGTAAAACCAAAGGGGTTGGTAGCGCGTGGGGTTCGCAGTTTTTGTGTCAAAGGGTGGGGGACCTCGCAACCGTAAATGAGTGAAATGAAGATGAATCATCTCCTGCATGTGCTGTGCACGTGCTTTGTCAGTACTTTTCTACCCTGTTGGTAATGCCGACAAACAAATCCTTAACTGAAATGAAGCGTGTCAGAAACAAAATTTGCTGAAAAACACAAGACGGCGACCTCTCAACGCAACACAATACTCCTCCTATATGCGAAGAATAATAAGCTCCCGCGTAAGGTTCCTTCCTGGTGAACGGTTGCATGTCAACTTGGTTAAGGAATGAATTAGCAGCAACTGGGGAATTTAATGTCATGTAGATCGAGTAGGTATTAATATTATGAATGAGTACGTACGTGTGGGTGACGTGGAATTCACCGTGTTACAGGTGAGGGGAGAGAGAGGGACTTGTAGGGCGATCCTGTAATAAAAAGTCAGTCACATGCTGGTCTGTACGAAAGGAAGAGAAAGACAGGAATTTTCAAAAAGTGTGAGAGGCCAAATCACAAAGGGTGAGCCCCTGTCACGGCAATGACACATGAATGATGTTTGTTTGGATCCGATTCCAGAAACGCTCCTCGTCTCACTCCGCCTAACTTTCGCACATTCCCATAACAGCCATTATCATTGAACTTCTGGTTGGATGCAAAAGAAAAGCAAGATCCTCCCTCGCTCACCCCCGTTGCTTCGCTTCAATTCAATTCACTCATTTTTGACATTCTTTTTATTTTGTGCCCTCCTTGTGTCCTTTCCCTTGCATCTTCAATTACATCAACTTTTCATTAATTCCTCACATGCTTCTGGTCAATGCGTCTTCCGCCCACAGTGCCACCCACCATCTCCCTTCTACACTATGCCTCGTCTGGACTGAAGAAGAAATGGAGGGGAAACTAAAAGATAAAGAGTGAACACAGTGGAGAGACAGAAAAAAAATGACATAATTTTGATTTACAGGAAAAACTACAACTTTTTATTTTTTTATATAAACAAAATCATTTATTTTAATAAGTATTTATTATATATTTTTTAAATCACTCCTCATAATTTATATTAATAAAAAATAATTAATACATGTTTAATTAACATACAACATTTTAGTTTATTTTTTTATTTTTAAATATAATTATTATGATTAATTAATTTTGTTAAACTATGTGATATAATTTTTTCTACTATACATAGAAATGGATGGACTATTTCACGGTAATAACTACATAGTTTTCCGTGCATTGCACAAATTAAAATTAAAGAATTTAAAACAAATATCATTGATTTCATTAATATCGATACATCTGAAATGGCTATATTTTTAGGAGCTTCTTTATTCAATCATTTTTCTTCTTAGATATTTTATTTGTAGACATCTTATTTTTATTTGTCAAGCCTATAGTGAAAAATTTATATAAAAAATACATGTTCTTAAAGTGCTTAGAGAATATTAGCCCAAAAACATACTTCTTTAGAATTCTCAAGAACCTCTCATTTTTTACTATCTAAAAAAAATTAGACACTATTTTATGAATTATGACATAAATTGTATGTCCATAAATATAGATATAAGAACAAATCCGAAGAGGCCCCTCCTTTTTTTTTAATTGTATTCTATCCTTTTGTATTTTTTTGGTTCTTACTCTTCTTCTTTTTTTTTTATGTACAAAACAAAAGGACTACCGAAAAAGCCTATCTACCACTCAAGTTTTGCCTATCTAAAGTACTTAAGTAGTTACTGTGTTATCTTATCAACACGAAATGGATGGTGAAATATGCACAGTTTGAAGGGCCAATATCACAAGTAAAGATTGATGATCCAAATTAAACTTAAATGGCTTTTTATTTCCTTTTTTTCTTTTTACAAATATTGTTTATGAATAATAATTGATGAGAGTTTATTGATATTGAGTATAGTGAATCAAGAAAATACATAAAAAAATAGAAAAAAAAATTAAATCTCATTAATCGAGAAAATTAAAAAAATCATGAAAAAGTATAATGAATGCAGTAAGATAGTCTGAGTGGAGTTAATGCTAAAGATAAAAAAAATTTAAAAATAGGACTACTCTTGACTCAATACTCCTATGAAAGTAGAATGAAAATACAAAAAAAATATTAAAATAAATTAAATCTTATTTATCAAGAAAATTGAAAAGGCATGGCAAAGTACAATGAATGGAGAATAACAATCAGATGGAGTTAATGCTAACTATTAAAAAAATTTGAAAATGAGATTACTCTTAAATCATTACTCTCGTGAAAATAGACTAAAAATAGATAAAAAATAAAAAAATAAATTAAATCTTATTAATGAATCAAGAGACATTTTTATATTAATATTAGCCTAAAATACATTAACTAATGAGAGTCAATTTTTTTTATCAATCAGATTTAAGCTACAAGATTTGTGTGTGTGTTGATGATATTGAAATTGATACCACATCTATGGAAATCTTTTGGGAAATTTTTTTTATTTAAATAAAAAGGCATGTTTCTTTCTAAATTTTCTCTACCTTTCAAAAGAAAACTTTGTAGAAATAAGAGAAAACATGATGAGTCTTGTGTCTCTTTCTTTCTTTTTTGTTCTCTCTTATTATCTAAACAGATAGAAAGTCTATTTTTTCTCTCATATTTTCTTTTCTCTGCCTTATTTTTTTGACATGTTTTTCCCAGATTTTTCCATGGTTCATACTTGAGGCATCACTCATTGCTCCAAAAGAGTAAAGAAAAAGAATGCTTGATTGATTTTCACGCTCATCTATTTTTTTTTTTTTTACCTCTCTTCAAATGTGATATTTCATCTGATTATTTTGTAATCGTAATTGTCAAAAATTGGAATCGAAAAACAAATGACAATTAATTTGCTTGGATGTGAGAGGAATTGGTGTACAAGGAAAGCAAATGAAGATGATTGTTGGAGGCTCCGTGGAGTACCATCTTACCTTATATATGCTAACTAATTCAAAATCACACATTACCATTTGCATTATATTCATTTTTACTTTCCTTTTTGTGTTTGAGTGGGGCTCTAACAAATTAGATAATAACACTAAATTATTGCCAATAAAGTAAGACTTTCTCTGACATTATTATTCTATATTATCCCTTTAATGATAACTAATTATCATAAATGATTATTAAGTTTTCTCCCCGTTTTAACATCAACATTTTGGATTATACTACTCTTTTCATTTTAAAACTTTAAAATATTTTTATAACTGCTTGTCAAAACAGTGACCTCTCTCTCTCTTTTTTTACTGGAATTATAAATTGACCATTAACAATTTTTATTTTTATATTGGTCAAAATATTTAAACACTATATGAAGTGTGTAATATACACATTGAAAATTTTCCTCTACTTCAGCTGGAATTTGATCATATATAGTTAAATCAAGAAGTACATAATCACTGGTTTAATATTACTAGTCTAATTGTGTGAGTGATCCCTGCAGGTTTGATAAAAATAGGAGTGAGAATCGTGGTTTTCAATTGACCATTGCCCCTAGAAGTTGCTGTGGCCCCTCCTAATTTTCCCAATGTAATGACATGTTTTCTTATTATATTGTATGAAATCTTTAAAATAAATTATACTGAAATTTATGAACTATCACATGCATTATTACGATATATATTTTGTTAGATTGATGATTGGTTTGGCACAAGGCAAGTCTTCAAGCCACGATAGGAATTGACTAGCTTGGGAATGAATCGGCTTAGTCCTTTAATTGGTTCTTTATTTTCAAGTACTTTCTTATAATTTTTAACTGGA